CACGTTCGCATTCATCTTCCCTCCCAAATTCCGTGTTGCTGGGTGGAATGTCATTATCAGACATACTCAAGTGTTTTGCCCTCTAATGTGTTCAGTCTACAGCTATGCCGTGTAAATGATATAAGCCCTAAGAAATGAGAGAGCCAGAAATGGAAGAAAGGAGAAGGATCATATTGCACACCCAGGCTACGTCTACACTGGCCCCTTTTCCGGAAGGGGCATGTAAATTTCACTAGTTGTCGTAGGGAAATCCGCGGGGGATTTAAATATCCCCCGCGGCATTTAAATAAAAATGTCCGCCGCTTTTTTCCGGCTTTTAAAAAAGCCGGAAAAGAGCGTCTAGACTGGCCCCGATCCTCCGGAAAAAGTGCCCTTTTCCAGAGGCTCTTATTCCTACTTTGAAGGCACTTTTTCCGGAGGATCGGGGCCAGTCTAGACGCTCTTTTCCGGCTTTTTTAAAAGCCGGAAAAAAGCGGCGGACATTTTTATTTAAATGCCGCGGGGGATATTTAAATCCCCCACGGATTTCCCTACGACGACTAGTGAAATTTACATGCCCCTTCCGGAAAAGGGGCCAGTGTAGACGTAGCCCCATCTTCATCCAGGTGCACCGATGTTTCATTGCTTAACCTTCAGTTCAGATGCAGTCCTCTGTTACAAGCTGGAAATGCTTCTGCATCTCTCAGTCTCAAAGTACATAATCTTCGTAAAAACTACAGGTTCGCTTCCTTATTCACCTCAAATACAACTCATATGCTTTGTGCACTTCAGTGAAGTGGCTTTATCTGCATGTTTTAGGACCTACTTAATATCTCTGCTGCTTTTCTTCTGTTACTCTAAGGTTCTACTGTATCTAGGTGTTAAAACACCTGTAGCTGGGTTATATTAATACTTACCATACATTTATTCTCCAGCTTTTATTATAAAGGCTCCCAAAGTACACCTCTCTCTAGAGACATACAAGAATCAGTGAAGCATATCAGCTTCTGGGTTGGAGAGTGCCAGGCTTGGTGTTTAAAGTTCAGACTCGGGCAACCCCATGCAATAAGAAATGAAGTGCCTTATCTCTGTAAGTGCCACTGGAACGTATTCAGGCAGAGTAGGAGGATTCAAAGCCCTTGTGTTTGATGAGGTGGCACTAGATAGCTCTGCTAACTGGACAGAGACCTAATGTCTGCTCAGCTCCCAGGGCTGGGGTTAAGGGATCACCAGAGAGACTGTGGGAAGGAAATTGATCAAAAGAGTCTTGTCGTGGGAAGATACACTTCTATTTAGACTGACTTGTTTATAGTGAAAAGAGCACTTGTAGTAAACCAATTCTCCCAGCTTCCTGGCAACATTATGGTCAGTGTTTTTAAAGTGCTAATGGTGGTATTTTCAAAAGTGCCTATTCAAGTTAAACGCCTAGGCTATGTCTACACTCGCGGCTTATTGCGTGAGTAATATGCAAATGAGGCTAAGCGTGGAATATCGCTGAGCCTCATTTGCATACCTAATGAGCCACCATTTTTTTCAGGAGAGGCTCTTGCGCAAGAAGCATCTACGCTGCCCCTTCTTGCGCAAGAAAAACCCTCTTGCGCAATGCCGTTCTTCCTGAAAAGAATAGGTGTAACGGCATTGCGCAAGAGGGGTTTTCTTGCACAAGAAGGGGCAGTGTAGACACTCCTCCTTGCGCAAGAGTCTCTTCTGAAAAAAATGGTGGCTTCATTAGGTATGCAAATGAGGCTCAGCAATATTCCACGCTTAGCCTCATTTGCATATTACTCTCGCAAGAAGCTGCGAGCGTAGACATAGCCTGACATTCCCCCAAAAGTACTCACCTTTCCTCAGACTAGTTACCAGGAAGCACTAACTGATAGTCCCCCAACAAACAGTTGTTCTTCAGAAATGTTGCTAACATCCGTAAGTATATTTAGATGGCAAACACCGTGCATTCTTTATCAGACAGCAGCACAGGGTGACAAGCAGCCAGTCCACAGAGGAGCTGGTTTTAAAACTGACTCCCATCAAGGACCAGCTCCCACCTGGCAGGGGTCTTCTCAGGAGTGAGGCCAAAGTGCTGACCTCACCCCCAGGCACTACCGAATAATTAATTAACCGATGAGAATTCTTGAGGTTACTCAACTATTCTATTAACCAATATTTAACATACCCAGTTATTACAATCTTGCCTTTGTCTTTACTGAATTTTAGCATATTCAGTTATTTTCCTACACAATGCTTGAAGAACACAACACCACTCAT